CTCTTGCGTTTCGGTATAGTAATAGTTTCTGATGTTGGTGTAGTAGTTGAAGAAGAACTCGGTCTGATTACGAAGGTAGGTATCGACGGCGCTAGTAAAGGTACGGAGGTACGGGTGTTGTAGAGGTATTGTAGTAAGGTAGTAAAGTAAGAGAGAGAAAGTAAATTTACCCTACTAGGGCAATTTAAGGTTTAGGCAGCAGCCGAATCCCGGCATTAGTCACGCCGGGCAACGATACTACCTATCCTTCCGGACTAATAATACTCTACCGCACTACTGTACCGCCGACGTTATTCTAGATAATAAGTATAAGAACTATACGTAAGTTGCCCCCCCCCCCCTAGGCGTTATTAATTTCGAATATAAGTTGTTGTCCGTTCGTTCGCTACTACTAGGACAACTGCTAGTAGGGGTTATATATATATAGTATATAGATATCTATGTTAAAACGATATATATATTAAGTATAGATATCTAGGACCTATATGTAAATACGCGTCTAAATTATATATCCGCCCTAGAGAAAACAATAGGTCCTACAGCTATAGATGAACGTATTCGGCAGACGTGGTCGGCGTATAAGGCGTATACCCTACTAGCGGCCTCAGGATATATATAGAATCCCTATATAGATTACTAATTACCTTCCCGCGAGATCCGATATACTCTAGAGATAAGCGCCTTGGCAAACTCCGGGTTTTCCTTATACCCCCCGTATTTTCCTTCTCTCTTTTCTTCTCTATCGTCAACTTTGTCAATCAACCGAGATATACTCAAAGCTCTCAAAATGCCTAATATAGATACTGTTTCCCTCTCTACCTACGTCTCTACCTCCCTCCCTAGGGATAACGACGACCAACTCGACTATAGACTCGATTTACTATAGGACGAACAATCGAGACCTAGAGGGCTTCCGAAGGCTGCTTTTGATAGCGGAACTGATATAAGGACTTAGAAGTAGTTAGATAGGACACAGGAGGAACGAATGGAGCCGCTCGAAAAGATATCCTATCTCGGAAAGGGGAAAGAAAAGCAGGGAACTCAGGGTACCGCAAAAGTAATCTACGATCCTAATTATAGCGGAGAGAAGGAGGACAAGTAGGTAACTTAAGGTACTGCGGGAGTAATCTATAATCCTAATTATAGCGGAGAGAAGGAAGAAAGGCAAGCAAATCAAGGTACAGGTCTAGTAATCTATAGTCCGGAGACTAGCGAAGATTCGGATATACCGATTAGGCGGCGTATACGACAACTACCTCAACCGACAGCCTCTCCTAGACCAAGTAAAAGCCTCGCCGAAAGGAGGCGGGGACGTACGAAACTAGTCGCGAAAAAGTCCTATCTAGGGAATAAGAGGCCGATAGGGAGTCAACGGCCGCAGAAGAAGCCTATAATACGAAAGGTACCTAAAGCGAGAACTAAGCGACGAACAAAGCCTAGTGTAGCTACTCTTCGCGAGATTAGGAGATACTAGAAGACGACCGAGCTGTTAATACGTCGACTACTATTCTAGAGGATCTGTCGGGAAGTTACTTTGGATATCGCAAGTAAATCTTCGAGTAGCGTATGCCGGTTCCAAGCAGAGGCCCTCCTCTGTCTATAGGAAGCGACGGAAGCGTTTCTTACACTTGAGTTCGAAGTCTCTAATATGCTTGCAATACATGCGAAACGAGTAACGTTGCAGCAAAAGGATATAGTACTTTGTCGATGGATTCGGAAGCGCTTCCTAGGGGAAAATAACGGAAAAGATGACTTTTAAGCTTTTGGGAATCTGCCGACCATATCTGCCGACTATGTCTGCCGACTATGTCTTAGAGGAAGGATTAGGACTCCTACCGAGAAGACTTTCCGATAATATTTACTACCTATACCGACCGTACCTGCCGACCGTACCTGCCGACCGTACCTGCCGACCGTACCTACCGACCGTACCTGCCGACCGTACCTACCGACCGTACCTGCCGACCGTACCTGCTAACCGTGCCTGCCGGTCACTCCCGGCAATTGAAGATTACGTACGCAAACCTTATTTGGATCTCGTATAAAGTGCGCATGTATTATTACTTAGGCAGCAAACAATCCGTAGCCTCTAATTGGCCGAGCGGTTGTCTCCCAACAACACAAAGTTACTCTCTACTTCAGAAAAAACCTAACTTACTACATCAACATTGCCCCCTTCTTTTCTCTCTCTCCTTACTACCTCTACTACACTACACTACACTACTACACTATACTACACTACTACACTACACTATACTACCGCCACTACACTACACTACACTACCGCCACTACACTATACTAGCGCACCAATCCACTACAATAGCCTCGGCTATATCGATTGCGTAGAAGCGCAAACAATCGATTGCTCGCAAGACTCCTCGTACTAGTAGAAAGGGACTTCCTTCGCGTACAGGTAGTAAAAAGCTTCTAGGCGCTCGCATCAAGAAGGGACACAGATATGCCCTAGGTAGTAAGTAATTCCAGAATACAGATCTGTAGCCGGCATTTGTAGTCGGCATTTGTAGTCGGCATTTGTAGTCGGCACTAACTTCCTCAAAGCATTGGCTCTCAAAGAGATTAGGAAGTGCTAGAAGGAGAGCCTGCTCTATATCAAGAAAACCCTATTTGCTAGACTTATCAAGGAGCTCGTTATAGATTAGGCTTATATACCTCTTCGTATTCAAGCAAGCGCTCTTGGCGTTCTTCAAGAATATGCTAAGTCTCTCTTAGTAAGAATCTTTACCTGTAAGTCTTCCTATTTCTTATTCTTTCTGATTAATTACTTACTTACTTACTTACCTCCTCTAGCGGCCAACCTTTTGGCTATTTACGCTAAGCGCGTCACACTCCAAGGCAAAGATATAGAGTGTCTTCGCTCGCTCCTTAAGGAGTAGGGTGTTTGGCCTGACGATTTCGTAGTCTGCCCTTACAACTCTAGTCCTATCAATCCCAATTTCATCTATATAGAGCTAAAGAAGAACAAAGCTTCTAAGGTACTAAAACCGAAGGCTACGCCAAAATGCAAGCCTCTCCCTACTAAGAAGCCTCGACGAATTGTTGATTACGATTCCGACGAGGATATACTAGACGCTACTCAGAATCCGACTATAGACAACAATAATAGCGAGGAACCTACTGCTCAGCAGGCAACTCTTAGTAAGTTACTCCTCTTTTATTATTAATTATAATATACTAATTTAATAGCTTAGGATAATACTCCGCTACTCCTAGATAATGAGCAAGAGGAAGATAATCAAGACGAAGATAAGCAGGACGAAGATAAGCAGGAGCAAGATAAGCAAGATCAAGATGTCTAAGGTCGAGACTTTCAAGCTAGTTATAATCAAGAAGAGCTAGATAATAATACTAGCGATAATAAGCAAACTCTTGAGCAGAGGTTAGAAGCCTACGCTAATAAGTTAGTAGCGGCAGCTTACGCGCTTACTGTTGCGAAAGAGCGTTCAGAAGATAGCGTACGCCTTGCTCAGCAAACTCTCGAGGGAGATGCGAAGAAAATTGCGCGTCAGTATCATAGTTGGCAGCGGCTGAACTTCGAAGATCAGCTTTGCGCCTATCAAAAGATTCAAGACGCTCAAGCTTAGGGTTTAGGGTTAGGGTTAGGGTTAGGGTTAGGGTTAGGGTTAGGGTTAGGGTTAGGGTTAGGGTTAGGGTTAGGGTTAGGGTTAGGGTTAGGGTTAGGGTTAGGGTTAGGGTTAGGGTTAGGGTTAGGGTTAGGGTTAGGGTTAGGGTTAGGGTTAGGGTTAGGGTTAGGGTTAGGGTTAGGGTTA